AGAGAGAGAGAGAGGCTGAAGGGGACGCCCCTCAGGGGACACACAGCTGTGGCGACGGCTTCCTGCCTCAGACAGCCCTCTCACCTGACCCCTGAGGTGACTGAAGGTTGGGGTCCCCCACCCCCCTCACCTTGCTGCTCTCGGGCTCTCTACCCGAGCTCCTGCCACCACCATCATCCCGTGGGACACCTGCCCTCACCCAGCACTGGCTCACAGGCGTCCTGCAGTGCCCGCTGGCCACCTCGCTGGCCTGGGCTTCCCACAGTCCTCAGCAAGCACACACTGATCGCAGCCACCTCCCACCCCGGACCCTCCACAGATGGCCATGGGGGAAGGGGAGGGAGGCGTGAAAACAAGCCCCTCAAAACAGGCTGCTCTCCAGGCCTGGTCGGTCCCTGCGCGTTGGCCCTCCGGGAGCCTGACCTCACTGAGATCAGCGCGACCCTGGGACCCCCAGCCCTCAGGAGGCTGCACACCCTCCATCAGCCTGAGACTCCCCAGTGGAGTCAGGAAACGCGGGCGGAGGCCAAGCGGAGAAGGTGGTGTGCTTCTTTCTTGTTTTGAGGATGAAGGGAGGTATTCTCCCATAAAGCCTCTGGCTGGTGGACCTGGCAAGACCTCACGTCCACCTGGAGCTGAGGGGCAGCCAGCCTCACCACGAGGTCTGACTCTCCTCGCTCTGCTGTCCCTGGGGCCTCCTGGAGATCAGTGCAGGCAGGAGTCTATAAAAAGGATGAAAGAACCTGGGAAATTTCCAGGGCAGGGCTGGCCGCCGGGGAAGGACGGGAGCACCACCTAGTGGCCGCTGGAGGGCACTGCCACGGGAGTGGACGGGAGCCTCGGCCCGGCACCTTCCACCTAACACACACAGAGATGGGCACGCACACATGCACGGACACGTGCACACACTCGGGGTGAGACACACGCACATGCACATGCACAGCACACATGGCACCCTGTCCCCACGGCTGTCACAAGGGCCAGGACACGCAGTGCTGGGCAGACCTCAGTGCACAAGGGCTGGGAGGAAAGCCAACCCCCACCCCTGCGACTGTGACAGCAGCAGAGCCCACTCCGGCCTGGAGCCAGGGCCAGCCAAGGCAGGGGACACAGATGCCCTCCTGTCACCTGCCGTCACTCATCATTCACATGCACATGAAGCCTGCGTGGGGTCCTGGCCAATCCTGCCACGGCGTGGGGGTGGAGGGGGGCCGACCAGAAGCAGTGGAGACAGGGCAGTGGGATGGGGAAGAGGCTGCACCCTCACTGGAGACACCCTGTGCCCAGACCTCTGCTGATCCCCCAGGCCCAGCCCCACACCCACACACAGGGTGGGGAAAAGCTGGCTTTCTCCACCTCAACGGCATCCCAGATCAGGGTCACCCAGCGTGGTACTGCCCGGTGTCACCTCCCCTCTGGACCTCCATACCGGGCTGTCCACACCCTGGACCTCCATACCGGGCTGTCCAGAAGCCCCTGTCATGCTTAGCCTGTCTGGGTGTTGACTGCCTTCTCATCAAGCACAACTCATAGCGACCCTATAAACAGAAGGCCTGAAGTCCCTCAACAACTATTGACATTTATCAAAGTGCACAGAGTTCCTGGAGGCATGCTGTATGGGAAGTGGATGCCACTCTTAGTTCTAGAATAAAACAAACCAAATGATGTTGTGGAGTAAAAACTGGCTCATCGCCACCTCGTGAAGGAGCTTCCAACGTGATAAATCTTTACCAGAGGAGACAGGCTCCTCTTTCACACGAGTGGATTCAAACCACCAACCTGTTGCTTAACAGCTCAACACGTAACCCACTACGCTACCAGCATTCCCAGACCCATAGGATATTATGTGATAGATAGACTTACAAATTCCTTAAATGTTGCCTCACTCAACACTGTGACAATACTAACAATAAACTTACATTGTGAAGTCTTTCTACATTGAGTCATAATACCACCACATACAAAACGATGAGTGTCTGAGCAAAAGCCTTTCTCGTTTTTCTCTTTAATTACTACTTCATTCTCAAGGAAGGTATTGATCAAGGACTAGTAACACCAGAAAATGTGACAAAATTAGCAACTATGCATTAACCCCAGCAGCAATGGAAACCAGAGCACGGAGCTGTGGCACGTGCAGACGAGGCCACGACGTGCCTCTCTAACTGGGTAATGATGGCTGAGAGGAGCCGATCAGGTCTAAGAAGCCAGTCTGCAGTGTGTGAGCCCTGCAGGCATACAGATACATGTACACGGAAAATGGTTTTGTTATTCTAACTACAAAGGCAATAATGCGCACTTCTGAACCAATACACAGCATCACGACAGATGGCAGAGAGACTGAAATTCTCAACTATTTCATCTAACTTGGATCCACAATCATCACCATCGGTATCAGGCATCAAAAAATCAGAAGACGAGTAGCACTGGGAAAACGTGCTGTCACGGACCTCTCCAAAATGCTCAAGAGCAATGCAGTCAGTTTAAAGACTCAGGTGTGTCTGAGCCACACCACTGTGCTCTCAATCACTTGCTGCACGTCTGCAAGCTAAACGAAGACCAAGCCATGGAGGAACGGAAGCTGTGGTGCTGGAGGAGAGCATGGAAAAGCCCGCGGATGGCCGAGAGGACAGACAGGTCTGTCCTGCAGAAAGCGCGGCCAGGGCGCTCCTTGGAGGCACGGGTGGCGGAAGCTTCAGCTCACATACTTTGGGTACGTTGGGAGGGGCCGTTACTTGTAAGGGACCTCGTGCTTCGAAAGGTGGAAGGTTCATGAAAGAGAGAAAGACCCTCAACAAGACCGGTGTGTGTCAGAGATGACAAGGCTGACAGGACAGGGTCACCATGGGTCGTACTCGACTCGACAGCAGCTAACAAGTACAGGACTATTCTTACTGAACAGCGTCTATTTCTACTCAACACTGCACAGAAACGTCACCGTGGTGCTGCCCTGCTGACAGTGCCACCGGGGGTGGGCAGTGCCTAGTGACACCTTTGTCCTTCACCGCAGCCAGAGCTCAGAGGAGTGGGTCACAGGTCATGAAGCTGTCACCACAGGGCGCGTCCAGACTCGTGCACGCTCCCAAGGGCCTGAGATCGGGACGGCCTGCTGCTGCTGGGCCTGTGGGACTGACCGGAGCAGCCTTCTGCAGGCCCAGGCCCACCATTCACCGTGGGGGCTGCCTCAGTCTGGACCAGCGGAGGTGGACACTGCCCAAGAACTATGGTTCTACTGGTTTGATTCGTAGTCGACAGCAAAGAGTAGAGGGTAGGCGAGACCCAGTTCCTGGGAGGCTCATGCCCTCCTTCCACCTTTAGAGAAGCCTGCAGCCGGCAGCCTGGCACCTCTGTGGATGTCCCTATAGCATTCAGGCTGGGCCTCGTGGACAGAAGGGCCACTCTGCACAGCATGGGGGCACTGCGGGCCATGGTGAACGGCATCCTCGGGGACCAGGGTAGGCTTGGAGAGGAGCCAGCAGGCCAGGGCAGATCTGCTCCTGGGGCCCACAATCCCCTCAAAGCCCGAGTCTCTGCCTCCCTTACCCCCTGTTTCCGACCATCAGGGCCCACAGAAGGGCCCGCAGACTGGACGCCCCAACGGCAATGGTCCCATAGCTAAAGCCCGTCTCACACTCAATCCCACAGGGCTGCTGCCCTCCACCAACAGGGCAGGAGAGAGGACGGTGCCTCACTGCATGAGGGGGGTCACCGAGCAGGGACAGAGGGCTCCATGTTCAAAACCAACAGTCTAACCCAAGCCCCTGGCCATGGAGTACACCCCACTGGAGTCTGACAACATCTGTCTCTCAGTGGCTAGATTTTTAGTAGATTGCCAGGCCTTTCTTTCTGGGTGCCTCTGCGCAAACTGTTAACATTTCCATTAGCAGCTGAGAGAGCATTAACTGTCTGCACCACTCAGGAGTTCTGGTCCAAATCTCAACCCGTCCCTCACGCAGAATGCAGGGCAGGGGCGGGTGCCCACTGGTCTGTAAGCCCTGCTCTGTGGACAGGACACATGGAGAAGCGACAGGCGGGCCATGTCAGAACCCTCAGCAGACTTTCTTTTTTACCAGATTCGTGTTAACAGGTGGCGGGGAGGAAGGTGAGGAAGCAGAGTGGACATCTCCCTTCCCCATCTGTCTTCCCAGCTGGGGACCAGGTACCCGCCTGGGGTCACCTGAGGACAGCCTGTGCCCACATTGCATGTCCCCGCGGCGTAAGCAGGTCCTGCAGGCCCTCCTCCCGGGCTCTCTAGCGGTGACGGTGAACTGAGGAATGGAACTGTCCACCAGCAGGCGAGGGGCGGCAAGGCGCCCCAGCCCAGGTCGCCCCTGGAAGACTGACACAGCTGTGGCCTAGCCCTGAGAGCGGCCTATGGGGTGACCCACATCACTGACTGGGGAAAGATACAAGTCACACAGACGTCCCTAGACAGTGACAAGAACCATCATGTGGAAGAGCTGGGGGAGCTCCAGGCCACAGGAGCCACTACTCAGCCCTCAGGTCCACAGCTGAGACAGCAGACCAAGGCCACGGGACCCCATGGACACCAGCACCCCAGCTCTCACCATGACGGGTGGGGGGTTTCCATGAGATGTGCCCACAGGGCTTCTGCAGCCACGCCCGGTGCTTGGCTGCAGGCAAAGCATGGCGGGAAGGTTTTAGAGAACAAACCACACTTGATGCTTCCTTCCAAGGGCAAAAAACATGTGTGCCCGCCGCACACCTGAGAGGGAAGCTCAGGCTTCCGCTGAAGCCATCTGGGGCCAGGCAAGGGGACCTCCGATCTTGGAACACCTCCTGGCACAGCGTACCCCTCGAGGAACCACAGAGACGGCCATACCCTCGGGGAACCACATAGGTGGCCATCCCTAGCCCAGCTGCCCTATCCTGGTGCAGCCACACCCCTCGGGGACCACAGAGGTGGTCATCCTCGGCCCATTGCCCCTTCCTGGCCTGGGGGAGCCAGGTGTCCTGAGCTCCAGCCCACGGGGGTTACTCACCAGGACTTGGGCTCCCCGAAGTGCAGGTAGTTGATGCTGTACAGGTCCATGTCCTCCGTGTGCCAGGCGAACGTGGTCTTCCACATGCCAAAGTACAGGTAGGGCGTGTTGACGCCCTCGATGACCGTGCCACACTCACGCTCCACCATGTCCAGGATGGTCCGCAGGCTCCCAATGTTCCACTGGGCCACGTCCTGCAGGGCGGGCACCCCGTCACACCTGTCCACCCTGCAGCCAGCTGCCCGACAGCCCCGTGGGTTCACACGGGCCTCTGGAGAGCCTGGCCAGGCCCTAAGTGCCTGCTTCTCCCCGCCCCGTGTGTTAGCTCCCCTCACCAGCTCCCTGGAGACGCTGGTCTGAGGGGTCAAGCACTGCCCGCGCCAGGACTGAGAAGGGCAGTCCATCATGGCCTGCGCAGCCAGAACTCTCTGGCTCCGAGGTTGAGCCCACAGGCGCTCCTCAAGCTCAGGACCCCACCATCCTCCCACCACAGGGGCCCCTCCTCTTGCAGCCCTCGGATAGGGGAACAGCTCTCACCATGCCAGCTGTGCCTGGAGGGGGGGCAGCGGTTAGAGCCCCCATCATGAGGTGGGGACCCCAAGGGGTCAGACTTTTGCCATGAGGACAGGGAACCCAGAGGATATCAGCCCAGTCTTAAGGACAGAGAACTCAAGGGGTTGGGCCCCCGTCACAAGGATGGGGTGCCTGTGATTCCACAAAGACTCCAGGGTCAGGGGCCAGGACCAGCTCCTCACCCAGCTTCAGGGGTGCAGGGTCCAGACCACGTGCTCAACACAGGCTAGACGTCCTGGACTTGGGGGGAGCGAGTGCACACTCACTCCTCAACCTGGGAAAGTCACTCGGGGCCTCAGTTTCCTCATGTGCAAAATGAGTGTTGGGCCCAACCAGGCATGCAGCCACGAGGCTGAGCAGTAACCGTGTCTCCAGGAGGGGGTGGTGTGCAGCAAGCCTGAGGGTTGGAGGTCAGGGGCCAAGCCTCACCCTGGGATGTGGGGACAGCCGCTGTGGCCTCAGCTACCTCACCCAGGGGTGCAGCTAGGGGCTCACTGAAACCCCAAGCAGATGGCCATGGCTTTGCAATGCTTCTGGCAAACATGCCAAAGCCACCTACGGGCATCTCCGCTGGACAGCTGGGGACTCAGCCCTGCCTGGGAGGGTTCCAAGCTTCATGCCTCTGCCTGCAGGGAATGGACTCGGATATTGGCCACCAGGCGCTCTCTCAGAGACCATGGGCTGGCTGGGGAGAATGTTCCAGTGGTCATGACCCAGAATGAAAACTTAGGGTGGGAGGGAGGTGCAGCTAATTGACTCCACAGCTCCCTCTGGGGCCTGGCTCTCAAAAGGCCAGCCCTGAAAATGATGGAAAATCACATTTACAAACAATCTAGGGCCCACTCACGTTTCACTCTACACACTCAGCTCATCCCAGACCTTGACAAATCAGGCTCCACCCAGTGTCCAGCCTGCACTCCTAGAAGGCCAGTGTGGACCAGGCCTGAGTGCCCTGGGACACCCACTCGAGGCAGGGACACACTAGGTGTGACTCAGTAGCTAAGGACTCCCACCCCACGTGGCCAGGATTTGTTAGGAACTGCTGAGTCAGCCAAGACTCACTGAGACCCTATGAGCAATGAACCTGAACCCTGTCCTGTGGCGTCCTCACCACCTCTGATATGCATGCGCCCACTGCTGCGTCACTGTGGCGATCCTCTGTTGACGGTCTTTCTCTTTTCCTCTGACCCTCTATGTTCCCCAAGGACTGGTCCCTCTTGACATCATGTCCAACGTATGAAAGACCAAGTTTCATCATCCTGGCCTCAAAGGCGCACTCTCACTACACCTTCTCTAAGACATAGCTGCTTCTTCTGGCCGTCTGTGGGATACTCAGTGCTCTTCTCCAACACCACAGCCCAAAGGCACTGACTCTTCTGTCATCCTGATTCACCATTTGACTTTCACATATACGTGAAGCAACTGGAAAAAACCTGAACCAGGCACACCTTAGTCTTTAAACTGACATCCTTTCTCTTTAGTACTTTGAAGCGATCCTTGACAGCAGACTTTTCCAATTCAATATATATTGATTTCTTAACTGCTGGTACCATGAATGTTGACTGGACTCAAGTACAAAAGACAAAACTATTGATAACTTCAATCATGCTGTTGCTTATGAGTCCACATGTGAGGATTTTTGTTTGCTTGGCGTTGAGATGCAATCCATAGTGAAAGCTGCAGTGTCTCATCTTCTGCTGCAAGCACTTCAAGTCTCCCTCACTTTTAGAAGCAAGGTTATGTCACCTGCGTGTCATACATTATTGAAGTTTTCTCCAATGCTGATGCCACTCTCCTCTTCAGAGAGTCCAGCTTCTCGAATGATCTGCTCAGCGTAGACTGAACAGGAGAGTACAGAGAGGACACAGGCCTCAGGCCGTGAGTGCGGGGATGATTCTGAACATGCTGTGGGGCAGGGCTATTTGAGCCCTTAGCGAGCAGGTTCTGTAACTGTCTTTGTCCCGGACCCAGTCTATCCCCACCTTGGCCCTCCATTCAGAGGCCCTCATCCCTCTCTCCCGACCCCACCCCTCGGCGCTGGGAAGCCCTAGTACTTACATCATCGTACAAGGAGCCGCTGATGTCGGCCCCATAAATGGGGGACATGAAGGTGAGGTTCTTCCAGTACTTGCGCTCCAGGTCATCAAAGTCCTGGTGCCGCGGGGTACAGTACCTGTCAGACAAACAGGAATTACCACAGCATGAGGTTGGGGTGCCTCAGTGCACCCCACAGCCCAGCCCACTGTCCTGGTACATCGCCTGGTTGTGGCCAAGGAGAGGCAGACACAGGGCCCCACTGCCGGGGACAGGGGCACAGCCTGGCTGAAAACGGCAAGCTTTATTCCTGCAGAGAACTGATCAGGCACTCATGCACCCAAGAGAGTCAGGGCACTGTGTGTGTATGGGGGCGCAGGGGGGTTGGCACTGCCCTGAACCCTCCCAGACCTGCACCCACGAGGGCACACAACTCTGTACCCTGGCAAAGTGGTTAAAGCAGATCAAAGGACAGGGCACCTTGGCCTATTCCCAGTGACTGAGCATTCTCTCAACACCAAGAGAACCACTCAAGGCTTGGGCACAGCCCAGAGGGACTGGGGATACCAGCCTGTGACAGAGCAGACACAGCCCTCACGGGACACACAGTTGAGAAAAAACTGGTGACTGGACACACACAGATGATTCAGGGAGTGGGGAGGGCTGGAGGTGACACAGAGGACATAACTTAAGGAATGTGTCCCGGGGGTGCACGTGTGAACCATGTGCCTGTGGGTTCTATGGCGGGAGTACTTGTGTTCTCTTTGTGTGCTAACTGCACAGAGTGTCTACAAGTCAGTGCCCCCCATGCGCCCCAGTGCCTGTGTGTCCCCAAGACCCCCGCATGTGCCCCTGTGCCTCCATGTCAGCACGTGCCCCATGCACATTCCAGTGCCTGCATGTCTGCAAGTGCCCCACACACGCCCCAGTGCCTGTGTGGCAGTGCATGCCCCGCATGTTCCCCAGTATCTGCCTGTCAGCATGTGTCTCCCAGCATGCTCCAGTGCCTGTGTGTCCCGACTGCCTGATGTCCCAGTGTGTCAGCACGTACCCCCGCATGCCCCAGTGCTTGCACATCAGCACATGCCCCCCGTGTGCCCCAGTGCCTGTGTGTCCCCAACTGCCTGGTGTCGGCGTGTACCCCCACATGCCCCGTGTGCCCCAGTGCCTGCAGGTCAGCGAGTGCCCAACACATGCCCCAGTGCCTGGTGTAGGTGCGTTCCCCAGTGTCTGTGTGTTGGCACTGTCCTACATGGGCCCCGGTGCCTGCGTGTCCACCCGTGTCCTGAGCATGCCCCAGTGCCTGCATGTGCCTGTGTGCGATCCCATGTGGCCCCGTGTGTGCAGCACCTGAACTGTGGAGACCACATGAGGGAACCCCTCTCAGAGAATGTGATGAAGAAGTGAGGAGGTCTCAGGAAGGCATGAGGACAAGCCAAGGTCCGAGAAGATGCATGCCTGGATCAGGGAAGAGGGACCCGAGGCTGCTGCTGTCCCCCTGCCCCGCCCACGTACTTCTCACTGTTGGCCAGCCGCCGGTACTCGCCCACTGTCATGGCCTTCTTCTGGATGTTGTACTGCGTGAAGAGGCCCGATTGGCCAGTCACTACCTGCTGGATGGGGGCCGGGATGACCACATCATCGATGTCATCGTACGTCTGTCGTGGTTTCCACTCCTTCGGGGGAATGATCTGCAGGAGTACGAACATTCTTAGCAAGGCCCCACCCACCATCTTGCAGCCCTCCCCAATACAGTACAGTTCAGCCCAACCCAACCCACCACCTCCCTGGGTTAGCTCCACCCACCACAGCTCCGCCCTCCAGTACGGCCCCGCCCAACACCCACCCCTTCAGAGTATAGCTCCACCCACCATAGCTCCACCCTCTCCCCTACAGCCACGCCCAACACCCGCCATAGCTCCGCCTTCACCCGTACAGCCACGCCCAACACCCGCCCCTCCATAGCATAACCCCACCCAGCATAGCTCCGCCCGCCCCAGTACAGCCCCGCCCAGCACCTACCCCGCCCCCCCCCCAGTATAGCTGGACCCATTGCTGCTTTGCCACAATACAGCCCAGCCCAATCCACCCCCTCCATAGTATAGCTCCACCTACCACAGCTCTGCCCCAGTTCAGCCTCGCCCAATGCCTACCCACTTCCTGGTATACCTCCACCCATCACAGCTCCATCCCCCTCCCCATACTGTCCTGCCCAATACCTGCCCCTTCCTAGCATAGCCCCACCCACCACAGTTCTACACTCCCTGGCACAGCCCCGCCCAACAGCCACCCCCTCCCTAGTATAGCCCCACCCACCATCTTGCAGCCCTCCCCAGCATGGCCCCGCCCCACCCACCACTTCCCCACCACCATGGCCATAGCTCCACCCTCCCCAGGACAGCCCTGACCACTGCCCTCCTCACCCATCACAGCTTAATCCTCCTTCTTGCAGCTCCGTCCTCTCATGTAGCCCCACCCACTTCCCCCCTCATCTCATCAAGGCTCTGCCCCCCTCAGAATAGTTCTGCCCTCTCCCTCTACCCACCTACCACAGTCCTTTTATTCCCAGTATGGCTCTGCCCATCATCTGCCCCATGGAGCTCCACCCACTTCCTCCACTCATCATTGCTCTGCCCTCCATCATGACCCCGCCCTCCCTGGTGTGGCTCCGCCCACCATCCTTTCTGCCAGGCAGGAACTTACAGCCACTTCCTCCACAGTGGCCACATTGCAGGAGGCATCCGTGGCTTGGTTTGGTGCAAAGGTCACAACTCAGCAGTCTATACTTAGGATTTCTGGGGGACCTCTTCAAGGTCAAGGACACTCTATGATGTGCAAAGTGTCTTAGCAAAGTGACACAAAGATGGTCTCGCAGGAGATAAGATTGTGCAAGTTCAAGTCCATAAACTTGGGAAGCCTGCAAGCACGCAGGCTCCGTCTCCTAGTTACCCAAAGGCTGCATCTGCTGCTGCTGCAAAGTTCCGTGGGCCTTTCTAGAACATGGCAGAGCTCCAGCCCATCACCTAGAACATGGGGGATCCTGTGCACAACTCATCCCAGTTCCCACAGAGAAGGCACAGTCAGAAGCCCAGGCCACAGAAGGGCAGACAAACTGGACCCCCAAACTTTCTGCCCTCAGCAGGGAGCTTAGAGGCACTCAGTTCACTGCCTGCCTGTGCTGGGCCCTACAGCTGCAGCAATGGCTGAAAGTCAGGGTCACTCACACTCTCAACACTTCCTGAGCCTTGGAAGCAACAGCTGTTACACACTGAACCGCTAACTGAAAAGTTAGAGGTTCAAACTCGCTGGCCACCCCTCAGGACAAGGCCCTTGGCTTTGGTAACTATTTTAACCACAAAGCCCTGCCGCGTTCTCTAGGGCTTGCTGTCAGAAACAACTTGCTAGCAGTGGTTCTGGAAGCCAACTTCACATCCTCCCTCTGTCGATGCGTGTGCTCTGGGGCGGCGTGTGCTCTGGGGTGGCGTGTGCAGGGCTGGGGCGGCGTGCATGCTCGGGCGTGTGCGGGGCCGGGGTGGCGTGTGCACTGCTGGGGTACTGGAAGCCGTGCTGCTGGGATTTCAAAGCCCAGCAGGGTGAGCCCTGGTAAACTGGTCTCTGCAGAGCCTCCGGACTAAGCACTAGGGAGAAAGGCCTGGCGACACACTTCCAATCATCAGTGGATAAACTTGTGTCACAAAAGAACTCTGCCTGTCCTGGGGCTAGAAGAGGCGCCCTGGGGTGGAAGCATTTGAAATACACAGGGCTGCAGCCCCAGTCCCGCGGATGAAGACTGTGACGTTGGTGCAGAGCCAGGCAGGGGCTGGTGCTGCTCAACAAGGGCCACCACCGCTCAGAGCCATGACCACATTCACAAGAAACCTACACGTCAAAGAAGGCGACACGGCACAGATCCAGAGGCTGAGAGGTGACTTCAGAGCCCCTGCAGGATGGAAGGTGGGCTAGCACTTTCCCTTTCATCCTCCACTACCCACAGCCAGCCACTCCCCTCAGGCCTCAGCTACCAGCACTTCCCCATCTCTCTCTCTCACATACACACACACACTCACACACACACACACACACACACACTCACACACAGAGCCCGGCTGGGAACACGCATGCAAACACACTGCAAAAACACCCTCATGGGGGGGAACAAAACACATGTGCACACATAGGTGAGGTGTGAGCACGCACACAGAGGGCGGTCTAGGCCACCGGGGCAGGCCGAGGGAAGGCCAAGTCAGGAGTCAGTCCTGACTCAAGAACGCCCAGAGTCCCGGTTTCTAACACGTGGGTGGGGCACACCACAGGAGATGGTCCTGAGCCTTCTGTCCAGCAGAACAGGGAAGCCAGCCACGTGACTGGGGCACTGACGGGCCTTCCCTGTGGGATGGGAGATGGGGCTGCATGTGTGCAAGCATGTGCACATGGGTGTGAGTGTGCACGCAGGAGGTGCACACATGGGGGGGTGTGCTGTGTGAGCACACAACTGCATGAATGAGTGTGTGAACGGGTGGATGTGAGCAGGTGTGAGTGTGAGCAGGAGAGCGTGCAGTACTGTGAAGGGAGGTGTGCAAGTATCTCTGAGTGTGGAGGGCAAGTGTGTGTCACCGTGTATAGATGTAGATTGGGCGCGTGTGTGTCAGTGCGGACATGTGAGTGTGCAGACACGTGGATTGGTGTGTGCCGGGGAGTGAGTGTGGAGGGAAGTGTGTGTCACCATGTATGGATGTAGACTGGGGTGTGTGTGTGTCAGTGCGGACATGTGAGTGTGCAGACACGTGGATGGGAATGTACAGGGAAGTGGGTGTGGAGGGAAGTGTGTGCCACTGTGTGTAAATGTGGCAGGTTGTCTGTGTCACGTGGATGGGTGTGTGCAGGCGAGTAGGTGTGAGCAGGTGAGAGTGAGTGTCACGTGGATGGGTGTGTGCAGGGGAGCGTGCAGTCATGTAAGTGGGTGTGTGAGTGCGTCTTGAACAGGCATGAGTGTGCTATCAATGTGAACGAGTGTGCACACTATCATGTGGCTGAGTGTGAAGTCGTGTGTGGGTGTGCATGTGGGCTATGGCGCTGGGTGAGCGTGTACAGCTGTGTGTATGCACACACTGTGGGTGTGACTGGGGGTTGTGGGTGTGGAGGTGTCCCCGCGTGCACATGCAGGCTGTGGGGGCCGCTCAGGTAAGTGCAAGCGGGAGCACCACTCCTCCTCCTGCAGCCCTCCCTCGGCCCCTCCCCCTCAGCCTGTCCCCTGGGCCCCTTTACTCACTCTGACCCCTCGCCCTAGATCCATCCTCTGGGTCATTCCACGTAGGTCCTGCCCTGAGTCTCCAGGTGCCTCCCCCTGAGCTCCCCACATCGATCCTTTCCCCTCATGTAGGTCTCCCCCCTTCCTCGGCTGCACGGTCACTGTCACAGACCACCTACGGGCCTTGCCCAGGTAGCCCTGCCCAGTCAGCATCTAAAGGTGAGTTCTGATCAAAAACAGAACAGCAAATGGAAACTCCATTTAAGAACTGGAAAAAGAATATGCAATACAAAAGGTAGAG